TCTAGGTTGTTGGTTGTTTTGTGCAAAAGGGTAAAGAGAGCCTTGCTACTCTATCTTTACTGGAAGCAAAGGTCCTCTGAAAGCATGTTAAGTGGCCTTCGTGTCTAAGTAATCTACACTCTCTATTCAGAGACAACTTAATATGAACCTCAATTTCCTGAGGGCCTTCTGTGTGTCAGGCACGATGCTAGGTACAATTATACACAATTTATTCACATAACATGCAGGAGAACCTCCATAATTGACCACCTCCCTACATTGACCCCTTCCTTAAGTTGACCTAATTTCCATAGATCAGACATGCACTACATGTTCTCATCAGTACAGTAGGCCTAGTTCCTTATGCTGAGCACCTGGATACATTGACCAGTTTGTGACATTCCCTTGGGTGGTCAACTTACAGAGGTTTTACTTTATTTATTGATCATTTATTACAATGTCAGGGATTCTTCTAAGCATTGGAAAGACTTCACTGTACCAAACAGATTTTAAGAATCCCTGTCCCTGCGGTATTTATATTTTAGTAGAGAAAAAGAGAATAAGCAAATGAACAATTTAGTTATATAACACTTGAAAGGTTACTAACTGCTTTAGAAAAATAAAGAGCAAGATAATGGAGTTTAAAAATAAATGATGGCAGCCTTAGAGAGGATGGTGAAGGGAAGCCTCCCTAAGAAGGTAAGACATTTGAAGGAGGTGAGGAGTGAGCCAGAGAGAGGTCTGGAGGAAGAACATTTAGGCAGAGTGAGCAGCCAGTATAAAGCCCTGGGACAGAAGCATATGTGGTATATCTAGGAAATCATAAGGAGGTCAGTATCCCTGGAGGAAAGAGAACAAAGGGGAGAGTAATACATAGTAGATGAGGTCAGAGTCATAACCAGGCCTGACAGTGTAAGTTCTTAAAAGTCATTGTACAGACAATGACTTTTATTCTGGTTGATCTGATCTATGTTTTAAAAGGATCACTCTGGTGGCTTTTTTGATCAGAGATTGTAGGGTGGCAGGTGAAAGCAGGGGAGACTAGTTAGGACACAAATTCAGGAAAGAGTCAATGATAGTTTGGACCAGGTGGGAGCAGTAGAGATAGAGGTATTTGGATTCTAAGGTAGAACTACCTGCATTTCTGGCATATTTAATGTAAAAGGAAGGGTCAGGTTCTATTCAGTTTTTGGCCTGAGCAACTAGAAAGACAGAATTATCATTGACAAGATAAAAAGGACTGTGTCTGAGTGAATTTAGGGAAAGATGATCAGGAATTGAAATTTGAACATGTTACGTTTTGAGATGTCAGTGAGATAGCCAAGTAGAAATGTTAAAATAGGAAGTTGGATGTGTATATCCGATGTTCATGGGAGAGGTGCAGGCTGATAGGTCAAGTAAGATGAAGACTGAGAATGGACATGAGTTTAGCAATGTGGAGATCTTTATTGAGTCTGGCAATGGCATTTTTGCTGGAATGGTAGGGCTGGACTGGAGTGGATTGGACACAATGGGAGGCAAGGAATTGGAAACAGTTTAAACAACATTTTCAAGGAGTTTTTCTGCAAAGGAAGAACGAAGAAATGTAGCAATAACTGGAGGAAAAGATACCATCAAGAGAGGGTATTTTACAAGCATGTTTGAATATTGATGGAAATACTCCAGAGAGAGGAATGAATTGATAATGTAGGAAAGAGAAAGGAAATTGTGAGAGCCATGCCCTAGAATAGACAAAAGGGGGTGGATGTGGGATGTATGAGAAGACGCTGGCTACAGCTAGGAGTACAGGTAGTTTAGTTGTGCTGATAGGCAGGAAGGCATAGTATGTAGGTGCAGATGCTGTTAGGAGCGTAAGTGTGGTGGTGGGAGTTTATGGAAGTTCTCATCTGATTGCTGCAATTTTGACAGTCAAGTAGGAGCAAGGTCATCAGCTGAAAGTGAGGATGAGGGAGGTAGTGTTAGAATTTTGAACAGAGAGAAGAAAGTGCAAAATAATAAGCTCGGAGAGTGGGAGACTAAACGGACAAAGGAAATGTAAGAACTGCCAGTCAGAAGGCTGTGTGCTGTCTCCAGCCATGTTTAGTGTACAAGGTGCAATCAGGGATCAGGCTGAGAGCTGAATTTAACAAATACAAAGAGTTAATAGAGAGATAGGAAATTAGGGGTGCATGCAACGGAGTAATTAAAATGATAGGGTATGGAATTTAAGCTTGGCAAGAAAGAAAGATACTAGGGAAGAGGATGGTGAGGTAGTGATAGGACCAGTTAAGCCGGGGGAACTGAAGAATGGTTGGGTCTGAGTAACTTCTAGAAGGAGTGAGCTATGAAAGATAGGAGGGGTTGGTCAGAGAGTAGGTTAGGGTCACAGTAATTGGTGAAGACAATGTCTAGTGCTACTCAGTGAGTAGGCATGGACTGGTGGCAGTCTATGAACTGCATGTTACTAATCAAAGGTGAAGTTAAGTTCAGAAATTGAAAAGAAATGTTTAGATACACTGCTACAGCATCCAAGCATATGATCATGGACCTGTATTTAGAATGCATTTGTTTTTTCAATCTCATTTTTCTCCTGGTTTCTGATTTTATTTTGGGAAAGTATCAGTCTGCAACAAATTGGATACAAACAAACAAGTCAGGTCCTTCCCCAGCTGAAGACTTCTTTTGTGCACATGATTAGGTGGGAATGTCTCCAGAAGGTAGAGGCAGGGTCATTGGAAGAGAGGAGTTAGGAGGATGAGTCCTTTGAATAAGAAAGTCACCATCATCTCTAGCCTCCAAGATAGAAGCCTGCCTGATTGCACAACTCCAGGGGGCGCCATTCTCATTGCAGTTTTTGTGAACAGTACAACTCCATCTGTAGCATGAATGGTGCTCTTACAGCATTCATGGAGGTGGCCACTGTGATCCCCATTTTACAGATCAGAAAACGAGCTCAAAGAGGTTAAATGATTACCCAAACTCATACAGTTACTAAAGATAGGAACAAAGATTTGAACCAACAACAAGGGTGTTGGTTGTGCTCAACTTGGACTCTTTCCACAACACCACCCTCTATCTATCAGACGCTTACAGCATAGTCATAAGCGTCGTGAGAACTGGAGGCAAATGCCTTTTGGGAATGTGTTGTGGTCCGTATGACCAAGCTGGACATGTCAATTTGTTTTAGAGTCACAGCTTGTCACAACTTGTCACAACTTGTTACAGCTGCAGTGGTTCCATAACCATCACTGCCTAGATCCGTCTCTCCAATTTGCCTTTGTTGAACCAAGAGGCTGAAGCACCTCGGGAGCACAGCAGCCCGAGTCCCGCAGGGTTTCCCGCACTCTCTGTGCTTTAGTAATTACTTGCATAAAAAGTATGTTCCAAATAGTCCTTTGTGGAATGGTTAGTAAGACTGAGTCATGTAACGCTTTCATCTTTTTCTCAAAATCTGTGTCAGGGATACATTGTGATCTGAGGAAGTCTAATATAGATCTCTATTTTAAACCATCTTGTTCACATAGTTCTCTCAGACCTTCAGGTCTTTGATCAGGGCTGAGCAGGCCCACTCTCCCCCTGAGCTTGAGTCCCAGGTATGCTGGGAGACTCAGAATTTCCAGAAAAGTTGGCTGTTTCCCACTCTCCCCAGGTACATTAAGTTTCAGAGGAACCCCCAAATAAAGTAAGCATCAATCTCTTAGAAATTTCCTGGTTTCCTTCACATCTTGCCTTTCCAGTGGACCTGAGCAGATACAACAGTAGGGTTAATTTATAAAGCTGGTCTGCGTCACATGGACCTGTGAGCACTGAGGTAACCCACTTCTCCTGGAAAGCCCTGGTGGTGCTCCAAGGCTAACAGAACAAGAGCCAGCATTGGAATTAAGGGTTTATGCCTGTGTGGCTCACCAGACAGCCCCTGTGAGGCACGGCCCATGGCATAGCACGGCACTTGACACACAGTAAGGACATGCTTCACAGGAATCAGCTGAAGCGGCAAAGGAACTGACCCTCAGCATGTATGGGCATTTTTGTGGTGATGTGTTTAATCTTTTCTATCTTAAGAAATTCGCTGGCATTGACGTATGCTCATGTCCTGTATATGCAAATAACTTTGGGGTTGTTTAGAACAAGACTCATTTTTATATTCGAACACATGATTTTTCACCTAGGGAAGATGAAGCAGAAATAAAGAGCCCACCAAAACAAATAAATATAACTTTACAGGGTAGGGTCTGATCACTCACTTTAGCTCTAAAGAATGAAAATAGAAAATAGAAGAGTTTTATTTTAAAAAATAGTGCTGCAAATCACAATTTTGGTGTGGTGGAGAGATGAAGAGTTCAAATACCTGAATGTGGTAAATGCCGATCATCCCGGTTATTAATTGAGAGTAACTCGAAACCTCTGATTGGCTTGGCAAACATAGAGTTTCAAATCCATGTTACTGATTATTGTCATTGATGTAAGGTTTAAGATCTCATCCTCTTTGGGAGATTGTCAGGATAGGTGAATTTTAAAAGATGGCTAAAAACAGAACTACCAAATGAAAGTTTGCTCTTCTTTTCTCCCATCTTGCTAAATCGTTCATTTGATCTAAATAAGAAGTGTAACTGACACGCAAGGCAACATGGGTGTACACGAAGTTTCACTTCATTTATTTGTATAAATTTGCATTCCAGTCAGATGGGGGATACTTCGATTTCAGTATGTACCTCATTGACATTAAGGGTCTAGAATCGTTCTAATAACGATGGTAAAGGTAAGGCTCAGTATTTCTCCTTAGCTTGCTTACAAAACGTTTAAAAACTAGCAAAAAGCTTAACTATCGTACTTACATAGAGAATTCTTCCTCTTCTAGATCTGAAGATGAAAATATAGAAGACAGTTACATCCTAGTTTTTTTAATTGTGCCTTTTGGAATAATTTGTATATGCCTTTTAAATAATTTCAAGTGCCACAAAAAATAATGCTAATAGCTCAAAATCAAAAGTTAAAAAAAAAAAAAACCTAAGTATAATTTTTAAAATCTTTTTCTCCTCAAGCGTTTTACGATGGGATAATGAGACAGATGTCTCTCAAGTGGAAGGACATTTTGACATTGTTATGTGTGCTGACTGGTAAGTACATAAAAATCATAAAACTCCTGTTAGAAAAAAAATAGCTTGGCTGGAGTCATTGGGCTGTACTGCTTTGCTGACGGCTAAGCAAAGTCAACAAATGAAGCACAAAGCCACCTTAACCTCAACAAATTAATATTCATCTCCATGTGACAGTTATAAGGTAGTCTTCTATCACACAGTAACTTCTACCACATTATTTCCCAAAGATTGATTTTTGAGAAGCATTTCCATTTTCTGGAATTGCCTCTGTTTCATGCTTGACGTATCAGTAAATGGACGACTTAGGCAAATTGCAAATAATTATGGCTCGGAGAGGAATAGTCTGGAGAAAAAGGAGTTTATCAACACAAACAGCTCAATTAGCTTACTTCTTAGGAGAGATATGACTATTGATATAAGGGAATATGTGTATGTGTACACACATCTATACTCCCCAGCAGATAAACAGATCTGTGGGCTAGCTTTGGGGAAATAGCTTTTCTTAAAATGTATATTTGCTATCTAATGCTTTCAGGGTATCCAATTATAGTATTTAATTGTACCCCAAACAAATATTATGAAATTGCATTTTATTCTCATGCAAATGATAGCATTACAATCTCTGATGGGTGCCTGCTTTTAAAAAACAATTTACATTAGATATTTTGTCTTCCAGGTTAGCCTAATCTATGGATTTGTTAATGAAAGTCC